AATATTCAGTAGACACATTTTGATAATCAAGCCATTTTGATAAATCTCATGTTGTACATTGTGAAATTTTTGTTTTTTAAAGGATATAGGCTGTAATTTAGAAGGTGATTTGGGAAAATGCTGCTATGCTATTTCCATATGTTCTCTGGAAGGTTCTTTCATTAACTCAAAGACTGTGAACACTGTTTTATGAGCTCTTTATGGGTTAAAATGACACATGGGGAGAAAGAAATAAACAARCCAGGACTCATTTTAAAAAATGTTTTGATACAGTTTAACTCAATATAGATTCCAAAAAAGATCCGAGTGTTCTGAGATTTGTTGTGCCTTGTGGGATTATCCAGATGGTAACTTTGCATCTGTAAAGTTATAAGTCTGATAATTATATTTTTGACAARTAGAGTTTATTTACATTTATAAAAACTTCGCTATGTAAATATAACACTATAAATAGTCTACCTTTCATACGGCCTCATCCTTTTTTTTTTTTTTTTAATTTGGCAAATTGATCTATTACCTAATACGCTAGAAACCTCTAACAACTGTGCACATTGAGGAAAGTATCACATTAAGTATTGACTGTAAGGAAAATATTAGCAAGCAGCTTGAAGATAAATGCTTCTTTAGACAAAAGTCTGAGGAAATGTCTAAAGCAGGTCATTATTGGTTAAAACTCAAGGAGAGCATGATCTTGCATCGCTTAGCATAATATTCATCTAATTTTTGTCTTAATCCTCAGCTCAGTGAATGTTCACATAGCAGAGAGAACATTCTGTAATTGCTTCCAGTGAAATGTTTCTTCTTCAGCTTGAGTTTAAGAACTCTGTCCTGGGATCGATAAGCCTAGTTATATTGATGATATCAATTAAGGAATAAGGATAAGTTCAAATGCATGTCTGACAGCTGTTGAAGGCAGGATRTACATCTCTTGCTCCTTGTTCCAACACTTTGCCTAGCAATAAAAACTGAATTTCAGGAGCRTAGCTTTACCTGCACTCTGTCAGATTCTCTTTGTAATGAGGTACTTAGTGCAGGTATTCCCAATGCTCCCAGTTTTAGGAAGGGACACTTGCTTTTTGATCTACAGTGGAATTTCAAGTGTGTTTCCCCCCCCCTACCCCCATCTGTTGCTGCTAGAATTCTATTTGCTGAAATAGAGTCCAAGTGCCCTGCAAGTCATGCTAATGTCATAACTACCACGTGCATCCTTTTCCCTGAGAGAAATTATAAAGTGTTAATTTCCGTACAGGTTGTATATGATACTATAGTCTTTTATTTCAAAAGGAATTATGTACTTTGGAGTACTCCTCTTTCAGGAGGTTATTTGCATCTGCATCTATCATAATGTGCTTACAAATTTATCTCAGTGAAACTTAGGTTAACTTCTGTAACTTAATGATTCAGAATAAAATGTCTTGGTGCAATTTCAGGAAGAAGAAGCGAGCAATTGTTATGATGGTGACAGTGGTGTTTCTCTTTGCAGTCTGTTGGGCTCCTTTCCATGTGATTCACATGATGATAGAATACAGTGAGTATCTGCCATGTGTCCTACAATAAAGTCTCCCTGTTTAAAAAAAAAAACAAAAAACAAAAAACTTTTCCAATAGTTTTTCCACTGCTGCAACTTTCAGCTATAAAATAACTCCTACTAGCAAAGGTTAATGTTGTGCTTATAAATCCTGAATCACTGGTTTGCAGTAGAGATACATAGTCAACAGGAGATGCATTTCTCTGAAATCTATGAGTTATAGACAGATCTGCAATGCTCACAGAAGTTGTAAGTACATTTCAAAAACCTCTTATTGGATATAATGTTTGGGAGAGTAACATACCTGAGAAATATTTGTGTGTCAGCCAGGTCTGTGCATCCCAGCTGTAGCATGAAAAAGGTGAATCTAGCTGTGAAGTGTGCTGGAGACTTTGTGGAGAGGGTGAGAGAGGGTGCTGTTGGTTTTCCCCCCTTCTGCAGGGGGGCAGTGAGTGACAGTAGCTGGGACTGTGCAGCTGGCCCTGTGCGGCACTGAAGCGATCATTACCTGCTGTGATCTGCTCACTGAGGGCAACAACTGTCTATCTGTGTCTGTCTGTCTGTCTCCTACTGCAGATAAGATTGTAGCGGGTAAGACAAGAGAACTACAGCCAGTCAAATGAACCAAATCATGTTTGGGCCTGGACAGAACGAGAAATGCTTAAGCTGTAATTTTTGAAATTGTCTGGGCTGTCCCATAATGAGATTGCCCTATAAAACCGTTCTATATAATACTTGCACTGTTTCCACTGTCAATTTTGAGGATCATTTATACTGCTGCAAGGCCTTCTTTTGCTCACTTTGTAAATCCTTGTACACTTTATTCTAAAGTTCCTTATCCAAGTATTTGAATTAAAAAWAACCATAGTTATCTCAAGTAATTAAAATGTGAGATATTGCCAAGAGTGTGTGTTTTTATTCTATGGGTCCATCTGTGTCAGCACAGAGAAGGAAGCTGTATGTAATCAGTGAAAAGACATGAATTAGTGTTATTGTGGTGAAGGATTTACAAATTTCTCATGAACGTGAGACGCAGAGGAATACTTCAATAAACACAGCCTACATTTAGCAGCCTGGAGGCCTTCTGTATTTTGGCCTTTGGGCAAGGTTTTGTTTGTTTTCTCTCTGACTCATGAGTTGTGTGTGGTAGGTTTGTTTTTCTTCTCAGACTACTGTGTTCTTTCTTACAAGTATACAAAGCAGATTGTATGATAGGGCTTGATTTTGCTTGCTGATGAAATCCTATTGCTGAAGTCGAGAACCTGCAGCAAGGTGCTTTTGTGATAGTAGACATAAGCTTTTAATACCAGACTGGATATAAATGGGCTTACTGATGGATATTTATATAACTCTGTGCTTACACTATATTTCTTTTTGTTTTCCAGGTAACTTTGAAAAGGAATATGATGATGTGACAGTCAAAATGATCTTTGCTATTGTCCAAATTATAGGATTTTTTAATTCTATTTGCAACCCTATTGTGTATGCTTTTATGAATGAAAACTTCAAGAAAAATTTTCTGTCTGCCATCTGCTTTTGTGTTGTCAGAGAAAATGTATCACCAGCCAGGCAACTTGGGAACTCGGGGATTACTATGAGGAGGCAGAAGGCAAGTGTTTCTCAAAGAGATCCCACTGATTTGGAGGAGGCCAGGAGGGAGGCGTTCAGTGATGGCAACATAGAAGTCAAGTTCTGTGACCAGCCGGCTTCAAAAAGGAATTTGAAACGGCATTTTGCCTTATTCAGCTCTGACCTTACTGTGCATTCTGCGCGGGGAAGTGGGCAGTAACATCATAAAGACTTTGAGTAGGAAAAGCATTCCCTTTATCTGRGAACATTCCCTTTATCTGAACACACTGGTTGAAATATATTTTTCTACTTTGCATTCTACAAAGAGGGGAAATATTTTATGGATTATGATAATGTCTGAATAATTGGTTGGAAACTATAGTAGATTTTACAGATAAGAAGTATTGGAGAACAATATTACTGCATGATTTCCAGAAAAATATTTTTCTTCCTAAGCTAATATAAGACGGCTTCTTTGCCCTCTGCTCTAGGCAAGCCAAGCAATTTCTGATTGCTTTGTTTACTTATTGTCTGGATGCTTACAAACCATTGGAGCATACGCAGTTGAATGTAGTAGTAGAAGACTATGGAAATGTATGGAAAACTATGGAAAATATGCACGCTTTCTTGGGACAACTTCACAATCTCACCTGGGTCTAACATCGTAAGATCTACTGTCTGCACTCCAAGGACRGAGAAATTTGAGATTTCAAAAATGCAGAAGGAGATGCAGTTCTGTTTTACAAAGTATATGAARGAGACAGCAGCCAGATCTTGACTTTGAAATATGAAGATTTAAACTTTGCATGCATGTTCAGATTTTTGTAAGTGAAAAGCATATTGGAAATTAATAATACATGCATAATTAATATTTTTCTTTACAGATTAATTCTCTGGGTAAAAATACAAGAGCAAATGTACTACCTGTGAACTGCATTGTTCCTGCTGAAAAATGTAGAACTTGGAGAAAGTGCTATAAAGAATCAAGGGTCTGCAGATGCTAGAGGTGTGTTCTATAGAATAAACAGTGAGTTTTACTTAAGCGTGCCTTTTAGATATGTGGCTTATGGGCTGAAGTATATTGTTGTGTATTCTGGAGGAATATAGGGACCGACCTCAGAATCTGGTGGACTTCACAGAAGCCTTTCAGTTGATGTTCTGACTAGGCTCTTTGCTTCTGACAAACACAGACAGATAGATATTTTTTTTAACCTCTGTTTTCCCTTCCTCATCTTCTAAGTGGCATCATTGTCCAACAGAACTGGTATCTTGTTACTTCTGGGTTTTCCAGCAAGTTGAAGGCTGGCATCATATAAGTTCTGAAAACTGTCCATGAGCCAAACGGAATCTATAAAATCAGAAGTTTCTTGCAGATGTGGACATGAGGAAAAAGTGTAATCTAGAGTGCTATATTGTGATCTAATCATACTGAAATATGAAATAGTGATTCCAGCTGAGAATAGACTGGATCTAAGAACAGATAGTCAATTGTTAATGTTCTTTTCTGTGACTCCTTATATCACCTTAGCAATCTTGATGCTCCCTTGGTGGTAACTTTCAAGATTTTTTCATATAGTCACTTGTAAAACTGTAAATGAAAACCTAGTCCAAGTGATGCTTGAGTAATTTAGCTGGTCCTTCTGTCATGTTCATAACTCTACATTGAATAAGGTATTCTGATGCTGGTTTCTGACACACTAATTATTATTATTTATATCTTATATATTCTGGCACAATGACAAGTTAAGATTCCTGACTTGTCCTGACAACCAGAAACAAAGCGTTCCTATTTGCATTAGCATATGTATTAGATAAAAATACCCATTTCAAAGAGCTACATCTGGCTAAAACAGCAYGAGTGAGATGAGATTCTGCCTCAGACTCATATATACCCCTTTGCATTACTTTGGAGTACTGCTGGGAAGTAACAGCAGCAATATTTGCGTGTGATTATAACTGCGATTTCCTTTGAAGACGATCTTTTTCTGGAAAGAAGAGACTGAAATCGAGAGGTCTATTAGTAAAGTTTCTCTGTGAAGAATAGGGACTTGCATGGATTTATTATTCAGCTSATGCAAAGTTTTCTGACTCATGCTAAGAAGTTTTAGACTGGGAATACCTTCTATAAACTTGATTATTTGGGTATGTTTAAAGATCAGCTTACTTATGTCTTTTTTATTGACTAAGYTGCAGTTCTGTTACAGGTACCAGCCTCTATTATCATCCTAACAGATGTGWTCTAGAGGACTCTTTAAAGAAGAAGGTACTAGAGCTCAAAAGTTCCAGTGTTATGGTAGGAAAGAAGTGGTAAGTGTTTCTGCAAAGACATAGAGGTTAGATTTACATTAAATATAAGCTGTTGTATTGTAGACACAATGTTGTATTGTTTTTTTTTTTTTTTTACATCTTAATAAAACCTATCATTAGTGCATTTTTTGACATAACATGTCTGAAAGCTAGATAATCTTGTGATAAGTCCAAGCTGCAGGATTTGAAGACCTTTAATTGACTAGCAGTGAAGATGCAGTGTCTCAATCTCATGCTGTATTCACAGAATATTCTATGTCAAATGCTCAGCAAAATTTCTGCTTGAAAAATGAGCAGTTAAGAGCTTGGGTTGCAGTTTAAATTTTGGGGAGTGCTGCCCAGATTTCAGGTATTCAGAAGGAGGTGGTGGTGACAATATGGATTTAAAAGGAAGCACACCTAAAATAAGGGAGATGCTGGCCAGGAAGGTGGGCAAATACTTGAAGACTAACCTCACTGACAAAGTAGAGCCAGCACAGTTGGAAAGTGCATTTAAATAAATGTACATGATTCATCTGTCTGATTAAAGGCTTGGTCATGTGAAGTACAGATGAGTGATCTTGGTTAGCTTTGCTGAAAAAGTTGTTGACTTGAAAGTATGTATGGTAAAGCCATGTAATAAAAAACAAAACAAAGCTGCTCCCAAAGTTACAATTTTGTCTGTTTTTATTTTTATGGTAGSGATAGCAACTTTTGAACACAAGAAGAATAAAAATTATAAACATGGGGAGTAGTAGTGGGAATGGAGAGTTGGAAAATGGCAATGAAAAAAATACTGAGTTTTGTTTGCCTGGTTCAAGCCTGCTTCAAGGAATAATGGGACTGACTTTGCTCCACATGTCTCATGACTGCCAGGCCAGCAGAGAAGCATAACCTGCATYGGAGGACCTTGTGTCTTAACTCTCAGCCTGGTGATGGGGTAGCCCTGTCTGTGTGTCGGTTACGTCGTTAGCTGATATGGACTGGTTGTGTGTCATGCTGCTCGTGCAGCCCTTTGAGAAGGATAAAAGCTGTTAAAGTAGGTGATTCAGTAGAGGAGAGAGGGTATCTGGGAAAGGCTGAATTATGCCAAGAGCCTTGAAGGTAAGGGCTAGATGGAGTATTGCTTGGTTTAACTTAAATGTGAGAACAGGAGGAGATTCTGAAGAAGTAGCTGAAATCTGACAACTGGAGTGTGAATTTACTCTGCATCCTGGCTAGCAGATTACCTGTCATGTTCATTCTAATGAATGAACCTTATAATTGTTTCATGTGGCTTGCCTGGTTATTGCAAGTGGCTCCAGTTCCTGAAATTTGTTGAGATGCTAGAAACTTATGCAAATGTTTTTTGCTGTTTTAATAAGTTCTGGTTTTCATTTTCCCCCAGTATTGCTATTAGGATATGATACTATCTTTGTTATTCTGGGATTTCTGGGGTTTTTTTGTGCTGTCTTGCTAGAAATTGCCATTTTACTTTTATTGCCTTGTCAATAAACAGTTGCAGTGATTAGAGCTGCCTATTCCCTATTTCATTTCCTCTTTCCATAGAGAATTGAATGTGTCTGGTTTTTGGAAAGAAGGGGGGGGGGGGGAAGGGACTAGGGGAGGGGAGATGTCTGAAATTTTCTGGGGAAAAAAATATGTGGCAAGGCTTACAGGTTTCAACTTTGCATTTGCAGCTGATTTTTAAGAGATTTGTATACTTGCATGAGAGTATTTCCTATCACTGAATAGTGAATTCTAGCCTGAATATATAAAAGTTAAGTGAATTTATTTAGGCAACCATCTTTTTTGGGAGGAGAAAATATTTTGGATGGCTTTGTTCTTAATGCTATCTATCCAATTTTTCTGCAGGTAGATATTTGCTGAGGAAATTACAGCAGTAAAAGCAGTCTCCACTTGTAGAAAAAGAAATCTATTCATAAAATAAATAGTCAGTAATTTTTTAACCTACGTTTTTTGCTTCTTTCTTACATTTTTAGGTTGTACTTATTTAAGAACAGTTTTAGTGGTTTATATTTTGTTGTTGTTTGTTTTTCCAAATGAAGAGGCAACTTGCAAACTTTCAGTCTGTCCTTTCCAATTTCCAGAGAACTAAGCTCCTGCTTGGGGACCAAGTCAATACCAAAGTCAATTCTTGCTGATTGCAGAGCAAGAAGTGGAGTTTATGAACAACAAAGCTCAGTCTAAAGCAGACCTAAATGACTGTTATTTGCAGCACAGTCTGYAATCGACAGAGGTAGGGTGAAAATCATAACAGTATGAGTACTGGGAAGGTTACTGGTTATATTACAGCTTATATGCTTTCCGCCAAGGAGTGGATTTGATTGCAAAATAAGTGGAAGAGTCAGTACAACCTGGATAAGGTAAATGCCCTAATGAATAGATGCTGAGATGAGGGGCTGGGTGGAGGCAGTCTTCCTGCTAGGAAATGTCTGGGGAGATAACATAGAAGTAGAGCTTTTAAAAAAGTAAAAAAGAACCAAATTGAACTCTGCACTGTAAAATCTCTGCTCTGCAAATCAGCTTTTACAAACATGTAAATTGATTCTTCTTTTACTTATGTATTATAAATATACACAGTTTTATATATATGTATATGTGTATATGTTTTTAAACCTGCTAGGATCCTGATTTTGCTGTGAAAGGTAGGAAAGCTGCTAAATATATTGTGTTCAGGTCACTCAGTAAAGTGGCTGAATTGTAATACTCATACAAATGAAAGGCTACATTCTGTACACTGTTTCCTTGTTGCACTGGGAGAGATAATTTTCCTGCTTCAAATAACCAATGTGGAGAAAATATRGTCCTCATCATGATAATTGTAAAGATAACAGCTGAATGATAGCTTATAAAAAGGTCCAGTAACTTTATTCTGTGASTCCATATAATGCACTCTGTATAATGTTTTGTATGAGTTTGACATTAGAAATCCCATGTCTTTCTGCTTCTCATCTCTTGCCTCTAACATATGGTTTCCATAGGCACATGTGCTGAGCACCAGGCTCAGCTATTAATGGACTTGGTTCATAGCTGAAGCGTTTCAAAGAAGGTGCAATCCGAGAACACTCAGCCAGAAAGTATATAGCATCTCCCTGGCTAAAGTATTAAAATACACTCTTTAAAGCTGCATCTTGTTTTGGCTTGAATTCTGAAGTGTGTATTTATGGCAAAAATGCCTGAAAAATCTTGTCTACGGTCTTGTGTGGAGCGTGTTGTGGGCAGCTGCGAGCTGCAGGTGGCACCCGTGCTGCACACCACAGGCAGTGCTGGCCTTTCTTACAGCGCAGCTGCCCGAAAGGAGCTAGTGTCCTGCAGGCTTTTGAAAGCAGCCACTTGATCATGGGACAGGGTTAGATTTAGCACTTTCTCTCTCTAGAAAGGAGCGTTATAAGGAGYAGGGGGAGAGGTGTTGGGGGAGGAAAAAAGTTGTGTGTGATGGTGTTTTGAAATAAACTGGCTATACAGTCTGTTCTCTGTCATGGGGGTAATAAAGCTAGGATCTGTTATTTCAGTTCCAAATGAGAGTTGGATGTGACATGGAATACCTTAGAGACTTTCTGTTTTCATCTTTGGGATTTTGGGGTTTCTATGATATTTCTGTGACCCTGCTAGCAAGGCTGCTACACTGATATGTTTGGAGGATGCTGAAATCAAAAGCTGTCTCATTTTGGCAGCTTGGACATCTAAGCTTTCCCTTCTGGAACTTTGAAATGATGTTTGTCCTGCTGAAATAGGGGGGGTTGCAGGAAATTGGTTAGGTCTAGGAGCGAATTCTTCCCAGAGAGGTGCAGGTAAGGTCTCTTGGGCTTAGCCGTGCTCTGAAAGTGTGGGAGGGCAAAACCCTGAGCTAGAATATTAAAGCTGTTGTTAGAGTAGCTCAGTTTGATCAAGGATCAACTGTATAAATAATCCAATACAAGTTTTTTGTTCTTTTGTATAATCTTACATGAGATATTTTTATATTTTTGTTATGGAGAGGAACCATTGGAAATCTTCCCTTTTTCTTTGGTAAACCTGATTTCCAGAGCAAAACAAGCAAACACTACGTTTAGATGTGTCTGTTTGGTTTTTGAAATTGAGCATATAAATTTTGAAATAKAAATTAAAACAAAAGTCTGAGACTCTGAAATGCCTCACACAGCTCATTTCCCAACTCCCAGGAGTGTACTAAAAGATCCATAGCTGTAGACAGCCTGCTTTCCAAATCTAATGACATAGTAAGGGGAAGCCAAAGGGGAAAGGTGAAAGGGAAATAAAATCTTTCTAATACAAATATTTATTAAAACATGTTATGCACAAAAATAGCAGTTGCAAAATGGAGGGACAGAATGTTGCTGAGAGCTGCAAAGGCAAAAAAATAAAACTGTGTAAGGCAACAATGTAGCAGTTTGTTAAGATCTGCTGTAAAATGCAGCTATTAATCTGTAGTAATATAGGTTAGAGCCCTGGAAACACTGAGGCAAATAACCATATTTCCCAAATTACATTTCCATAGTTCTCCTAAGCTGTGGGCACTCAGCTAGAGCAAACTGTATGAGGCTGTGTGAATTGTGCCGAGTCATAAAATATACAGGAAAATGACAAGCTTTATTATAGAATATAAGTAGAGGTTTTTTGTAAAATTATTTTTTCAACCCGTTAAGAGCTGTAAGTGGATGATAAGCCTCCTGTATATTCAGGGCTACTTAAACTATGAGGAAAAAATGGAAGTCTCTTTCAACTTGCATCATGCTTCAAAAAAACCTGATGCTTATTTGTAAAATCTGAAATGAAATAAAGCAGGTGAAGATATGATAGCACAGAAGCTGCTATAAAGAATTTTGGAGTCCCAGACTCCTGGATATATGTGGAGCATATGCTTATGGGATATAGTTTTGTGCTTTGACTTGGCTTTGTTTTTGATTTATTTTTCCTTATTATGGTAATCTTTCTGATTAAAAATATAAGTAAACAAATTGCTTGGCTGCTTCTGCCTTGTTTTTAAAGCTTGGGGTAGTGTCAGGAATAGCTATGTGATG